TGTGTTTCTAGAAATTAATCCATTTCCTGTAGGTTTTCAAATTTGTTGGAGGATAGTTTTTCATAATACTCTGTTATGATTCTTTTTATTTCCATTAAGTCTGTTGTAATGTCCCCCATTTCATTTCTTATTTAGGTTATTTGCATCCTCTCCTGTTTTTCTTTTGTCAGTCTGGCCAGTGGTTTGTCAATTCTGTTGATCCTTTCAGAGAACCAACTTTTGGTTTTGTTGATTCTTTCTATTTTTTTTCTATCCTCTATCTCATTTATTTCTGTACAGCCAGAATATTTAAAAGGGAAATACTAGCAATGTTCCTTCTAAAATCAGGAATAAGAGAAGGATGTGCACTACCAACACTATTATATAACACAGTATTTTAAGTATTGGCTAATACAAGTAGGCAGAAGAAAGAAATTAGAGGTATAAATATTGCAAAAGTAGAGGTAAAACCATTACCATTTGCAGATATTGTAAACAAACCTGGAACAAACTTAACATGAAATGTAAAGACCCATATGAAGAAAACTCTGAAATAATCTTGAAGAGAAGAACAAACAGGGAAATGTGCAATGTTATTGGAAAGGAAGACTCAACATTGAAAAGTTGCAAAATCTTCCAAAGTAGTTTATAACTGTAATATGATCTCAATAAAAATGCTAAAAAAGATGTTTAAAAATAATTTTAACCAGACAAGCTGCTTCCAATGTCACAAAGAAAATAAAAATGCCAGTTGCCCTGGAATTGATTCCAACTCACAGTGACCCTATAGGACAGAGTAGAACTGCCTCATAACGTTTCCAAGGAGTGGCTGGTGGATTTGAACTGCCCATCTTTTGGTTAGCAGCCAAGCTCTTAACCACTGTGCCACCAGGGCCATGAAAATTCTGAGAAAGTGGCACAATGAGGGATGACCAATCCTTCAGATATTAAAGCATATTGAAGTCGTGATAATAAAAATAGTATGTGTCTTAGGCTGGGTTCTCTAGATAAGCAAAACCAGTAAAGTGTATAAATATATATATATATAGTGAGATTATATCAAGGAAACAGCTCACGCAGTTGTAGAGGCTAGAATGTCCCAAGTCCATGGATCAGGGTAGAGGCCTCTCCCAAGTCACACAGCTGCAGAAGCTGGCAAGCCCAAGATTGGAAGGTTGGAGAGTAGGGCTTCCACTCACAGGCTGTGTAGATCCACGAATCCCAGGTTCGGCAGATAAGCTGACAGCTCAAGTCCCAAGAACGGGAGATGAGACGACAGGAAGCAGCCGCAGGATCCAGAGAGAGCAAAAAGCCAGAACGTCTGCTTATATACAGATGCGGGCCACACCCCCAAGGAGACTCCCTTTCATCTGATTGGCTACTCACCGTATATTCAGTCATGGGAGTGATTACGTTAAAACATGGAGAATCATGGCCCAGCCAAGTTGACACACAATCTTAACCATCACAGTATGGTTTTGGCTAATGAAATGAAAGAACACTTTCATAGAATAAAAAGTCCAGAAATAGATCCCAGACATATAGGAATTTTAACATATGATAGCTCAAATTAGGGGAAACAAACAAAAAAAAAAAACAAAAACCAAACCTGTTGCCGTCAAGTAGATTCCAACTCATAGCGACCCTATAAGACAGAGTAGAACTGCCCCATAGTGTTTCCAAGGAACACCTGGTGGATTTGAACTGCCGACCTTTTGGTTAGCAGCCATAGCTCTTTTTTTTTTT